GACTCACCCAGAAGAGCACATGCAGACGGAACCTTGGTCGTTGTTTAGCTTTGTTTTGAATCACCCAAAGAATAAGTTCAGTTACGAATTCTAAACGTCTAGTTGAAATACAATCTTAGCAAGTCCCAAACAAAAGAAAAATATATTTCGCAAACGGTTTTCCAAGACTATTTTACCTTATAAACTTTCCTAAGGCCTCGTTTTTTTACAGAAAGATTCATTTAATATACACGTTTTACAAAGTCTTCTTCACCCGATCGCTCGCTTTTAATCAGGCGACACACCCAACATAAAAGCACGTACAGAATACCCTGAAACATGTTCATGAATTTGTTTTCGGTGAATTATATCAAAGCTCTCTGCTCGTGAAAAATAATAGAGACCGTTCGCGCAGTCGTATTTTATTAAAAAAGCAAATAGGGGTGAACCGCGATGGACACAACCAATCAACCAAAACTCATTTCGATTCCTTCGTAAAAAGTTTTAAAAGAAAAAGAAAGCTACTTAGATTTAGGGACTTACAAATAACGAGCAAACTTAACACTCAACCCCCTCTCTGTGAAGTACATTAGGTAGGTCGGTAGGGGTATGGGTAACACGAGCGTCTGATATTTTTAACGCCTTTTATTTCATTTTTGATCAAAATAAAAAGCTTTTATGAGGTTTATACTTAAAACAGCTCTTATTTATGGCTTTGTAGCACAATTTGCTACCAGTGGGAGTCATTTTCGCCTATTCGATACCAGGAAAACGATTATTTTCATAGGCAGAGCTCCGTCCGGCTGTGTTCAGAACGCATGCAACAACGCAATATTACGCAATAATTACTGGCTTTTATTGTTGTGCAAAGAGTGTTTTAACTGTAAGATAATTTTCTCATTAATTGAAACAAAGATCTGAGCATGAAGTGACAACTATAAATCGCTCTGGATCATGATGAAGCATTTAAACATCGGCAACAAGCAAAATATAGCAATTTGGTCGCTACGTGTGTATGTGTATTATAAAACACGGACGTCTATAATTTTCAAAACATTCTTTTGTTTATCAAGAAAATGTCGCACGAAATTAATGGAGCTTTTCGACTTCTTTATTAGGGTACTCCAGTGGAAGTTGTGCTGGGCCTGTTTTTTCATAAACACGAGCTGTACGATCGGGAGCGCCACATTAAATTTGGCGGGCATTTAGGAGGTTTTGGCGCGGATATGCTCGAAGCAGAAATAAATAAATTAAAGGAAAAAAATCGAACACTGTGCTTACCTTCAAGGAGTCTTACGATTAATCAAGTCATTATACAAACCGGAATTAATGTGTCGCAAGGTAAACCTACTGATCTAAGGCTGAATTGGCCTCGCATTTGAACCAATGTGAAGAAGGAAGGCTGGCCATCTCCCGTTTTTAGAAGAGAAGCTTGAATTCTCCTAACCTGTCCGATCTGTTTAAATGTTCTTCCAAATACCAATCGCTTCTAAGGGAAACGATTTTGATCGCGAATCAACACAGAAATTCTCGACAAGGAAACGGCAAAAAGTAACTCACATATACTCCATACAATTATGGCTTTATCGGGCTGATCCGATCCCGGAGAATAGTTGAAAAGACCGCGCTCGACTTTATTTACATGTTTTTACCCCGCCTAGTATTGTTTTAACCATATTAACAGACAGTTGCGAAATTTAGAATTATTTCATCGCCTCTGTGAAGATCACTACCGATGACAGCTGATCTGACCCCTGCTAACATGCACGAGATCGGAGGTAAAATTATAACAGGAAATTGAGCACAGCAACCGTTACTCAAGATAATTAGTAAAGAGACTTTATGCGGCTCCTCAAGCAGGCTATGCAAACACGGAAAACGTTTTCTATTAATGCTTAAATATAAACGTCATGATTTTTTTCGAAATTGTATTCGCTTGAGACAAGAGAGGATAAAGAGGACAGAGAAGGCATCCCCCATACACACCCTATTCCATAGGTAATTCGTCTCGAGTTATTTTTAGAATCGGGATAAAGTTACCTCGGGCGCTGCGTGGATGTTTCGTGGAGGTTTCGCATGACTAAACGCCATGCAAAACATGTCGGGCGAAAGGCAATGAAAGCGTAAAGGGATCGAGAGCACTTCTGAATATTGAAGCGAAATGAGTCGGTGCTCACCTGGGAAAAGGGAATCGCTCGACTCTGACAACCCGTGAAATCAGTTTAACTCGAAGTTATCGTAACCTTAGTGCTTTAATAAAATGAGAAATTTCGCCGGTAAATTTTCGCCGGTCGTTTGTACAATAAAGCAAGTAGCAAGTAGAAAGTAATATTCATGTACATGTAATTAGTTTTGCAAATTTGAATTTTATTGTAGTTTATTTAAGTTGTTAAGCGCTGTTGATCAGTGAATGTAAACACAGGCGGCCCAGACGTATTATGTGTCACTGAATGAATATATTAATATTCACATGGACAAATTAATGCGATGAGTCGTCGAAACTCCCATGGACTAAAATAGTGTAAAAGTCAAAATATAACAAAACAAAGCTAAGATACCCTCAACTGAACGTATCCTTGTCTTTCCTGGCCGGTTTAAGTGGCATTTTGTTGAGTTTTGCAATTGTAGGTACTATCCACTAAAGAAGAATTAAAGGCTGGCGACAAAACAAACAGACCATCTCCACGCGCCTTCACACGAAGCGCTATAAATTCGAGAATAATCGACGAATCCGCTCCAAATAACCATCGGCTAATCTGCAGGTAACGTGTGCTCCTGTTTCTGGCTTGCTTGCTCCACGAGCCCATCGCAACTGCACAATAATTGCTCGCTCATCAACAACCACTGTTGACCTTTACGCTTCGATATGACCGCAAACGACCAGGTTTAATACGCGACGTGAATATTCAAGCTTAGCGACCGCGTTCGCGCAACAGTGCAGCACTTGCTATGGGAGGGATGGTACTATTGCTTCTAGGTCAATCGACTGACCGAGGGTTCGCTGCGTTAGTTTTGACCAGAAAACAAAAGGCGATCGCGGGACCGTCCGTAAGTTTTCAACAGGGCAGCCCTGGTTTTCAAGTTCGAATTCTTCTAACGTTCGCTGTCTCAGCTGCTGTCACATTGTTCGTCCAGCTGCTTGCATAGGTTCTTGACTCTACCAGACTTATTTGCTTAGATTAACAACGTCTTACTCCATAATATGTTGTCCAAACTGGTGAAGGAGGACGAGAATTTTCCGCCCAGGAAAAAGGCAAAATCTGGCCCCCGCTATGCAGCTGAATAGAAGATACAGCTGAAGATATCGTAAAGTAAAATTTATCTGCGCGATATGTTTTTTTATTACTATTATTATTCTCAAAACTCAGGGGCACCCAACGATGATTTCCCCCTAAATGCATTGAAAACACATTTAAGGCTGTCCAGAGTACTTTTGATCGAAAAATTCATTCTAAACAGCGCTTACAAAAATTTAGTCAGGAGGGCTAAAAGCGAAGCTAATGATTTATAGTTTGCGCATACTACATATAAAATATATCGTGTAATGCTAAGCGGAGAAGGCAACGAGACAGGGCCACTCAAAGACTGTTTCCTCAAATACTTTCAACTGAAAACACGTTTGTAGCTATTCATAAAGTACTTTTAGCTCTATAGAAATGCATTCTAAGTGGCGCTACAAAATTTGCATGTCAGTGTTCGGCCATTCTAGAGGAACTTGAGTCTTTTCGAAATTACGAGGAATTCAGAATTATTTTCCCGAAAATTTTAGATGCAATTTAACGTATTACGAAGGAGATAATTTTTCAGATACCTTCTTTCATCACATTTTTGAATCCGAAAATTTTAGGATTCCATTTTACTCTCTACGAAAAATAGCCTAACCCGGTGAGTGAAATGTGAAAAATTAAAAGTTGGATGCCCTTGACCAGAACTGTGAAAAACAACAATAGGTCTAATTGCAGCACACTTTCTTGTACATTTCCTTGCCGTTGATTTGCATGACTGCAACGTGAAACGTCCAGAAAACTTCCTGGTTTTCACTTTTTATGGAGAAAATGTGGTACATGTTCTTGTTCACTTCCACTGCCGCTCATTTTTTTAGCTCCGTTATAATATTCGTATCTGTTCGGTGCTCCTAGGGCAAATTGGATCTTTTTAAAAATTACAAGGGCTTCAATATTATTTTCCCGATTGATTGACCTAGAAGCAATAGTACCATCCCTGCCATAGCAAGTGCTGCATTGTTGCGCGAATGCGGTCGCTAAGCTTGAATATTCACGTCGCGTATTAAACCTGGTCGTTTGCGGTCATATCGAAGCTTAAAGGTCAACAGTGGTTGTTGATGAGCGAGCAATTATTGTGCAGTTGCGATGGGTTTTGTGGAGCAAGCGATCCAGAAACAGGAGCACACGTTACCTGCAGATTAGCCGATGGTTATTTGGAGCGGATTCGTCGATTATTCTCGAATTTATAGCGCTTCGTGTGAAGGCGCGTGGAGATGGTCTGTTTGTTTTGTAGCCAGCCTTTAATTCTTCTATAGTGGATAGTACCTACAATTGCAAAACTAAACAAAATGCCACTTAAACCGGCCAGGAAAGACAAGGATACGTTCAGTTGAGGGTATCTTAGCTTTGTTTTGTTATATTTTCACTTTTGGACTATTTTAGTCCATGGGAGTTTCGACGACTCATCGCATTAATTTGTCCATGTGAATATTAATATTCATTCAGTGACACATACTATGTCTGGGCCGCCTGTGATGTAAATAGCGCTCTAGAAGTTATTAAATTATTATTATTATTATAGGACGCCAAGTGTTATTTTTGTTGAATAATAAAAGACTAATAAAAGAATAAATATCAAACCAGACATTGCTCTCTTCAAACTGTAATTAGAAATAATCTTGACAGAATATTCACTGTGTTAAGGATTCCCCTGCTGTACTGTTGGCTCCATACAAGAGAGGAAGGGCGATTCTTTTTCAATTTCCGTTTCGCTGACACGGCTTCGGCAGAAATCTCTCTTTAGTCGCTTTCGTCGACAAAACGAATAGCAATATTGCTCTCCGCGTCTTCCGCCATTTTTTCTGCCTCAATTCGTGAAGGACGCGTGGCTCTGAGCGTGGGTCATCCACGCGGAACACATTCGCGCTATGTGGTTGGCTGTTGTCTAATCCCCCTTGGGATCTGTGGTCTTAAAAATAACTCGAGACGAACTACCTATGGAATAGGGTGTGTATGGAGGATGCCTTCTCTGTCCCCTTTATCCTCTCTTGCTTGAGATAATATATGACGTTTTCACAGGGTGGCAATCAGTTCTTGATGTCCTTCTATGGAAAGGCTGGAGGGGCTAAAACGTCGGCTCCTTTGATCTATTTAAATGTTCTTGTTTTGTACAGTCTGTTTTAATTACACTATTACTTGAGGATCTTTCTATTGATTTGGATTAGTTTTGGCCTTATACTTTCTGGTTTTTTAAAACGTTTCTAACGTAATCAAAATCGTCTTAATTAACTTTCATGACCTTAACTCTCAGAGAAAAAGTTTAGGCCCAAATAGAAAAAAGTGACTGGCGGATGGTTTGAATAGGGTTAGGCTTACTGGATCCTTTAAAGACGGAAAAACCTTGAAATGTACCTGATTTGATGACGAAGATACCAGCATGGGGATTTTGCATTCCTCTTCACGATAAAAACCACCGCCGGTTTGCTCCATCACATCAAAAGCAGAACACGTTTTCACTGTCGGTACTCCCAAGGTAACTGTTTTCTTTTCAGTTGACACGTCATCCTGAATGGTTCAGTCATAAATTATCACTTATGATAGAAAGGTGGTTGTTTAAAAACAAGTAAAGGTTGTTTTTTAGCGGTGTTACGCATATAAAGTGAACTTCCTAGTCATTTCCTTCTAAAACGTAACCTTTAAACCTAAAAAAATCTTAATTTTTATTTCAAAATAGGAAGTTCATAGAAAGAATTTTAAGTTATATTTCAAGTAGTTGCTATGTACCTGATCACCAATCACGTTCGTGTTCCACGTTAGTGTCCCAGCATACAGCTCTGTTTCTTTAGCAGCCCCTGGTGTGACTTTTAGCATAGAACTGCTAATCTAATTAACCCGACATAAAAAAATGAATAAAGCAAGACATCGTGGATCCTGATTTGATCTGGCTTACTATATATATATATATATATATATGTATGCTGGGAAACTAACGTGGAACACGAACGTGATTGGTGATGAGGTACATAGCAACTACATATATATAACTATATATATATATATATATATATATATATATATATATATATATATATATATATATATATATATATATGGGAAACATCTGGCCCTGAGGAAAATACTAAATCTTGCAAAAAGCCAGAAAAAAAGGCGGACAACTTTTATTTTCTGGAACCTTTTTTCTCCACAAGATAATTTTAAGGAGAAATCACCAAGATCTGGTGGTCATACATCTAGCTTAAACGGTTTTGAAGTTACTCATGTTTTTAGCGAGCTCTCCCCCGGTCTGAATAGGGTTAACACAACAGCTTGAATAATGATATTCAATAATATACACGTCATGATTTTTTTCGAAATTCTATTCGCTTGAGATAATATATGACGTTTTCACATGATGGCAATCAGTTTTTGATGTCCTTCTATGGAAAGGCTAGAAGGGCTCAAACGTCAGCTCCTTTGATCTGTTTAAATGTTCGTGTTTTGTACAGTATTACTTGAGGATCTTTCTATTGATTTGGATTAGTTTTGGCCTTTTACTTTCTGGCTTTTTAAAATGTTTCTAACGTAATCAAAATCGTCTTAATTGGAATCATATTTTGCGTACTGCATGCTCGGTAACTTTCATGACCTTAACTCTCAGAGAAAAAGTGTAGTCCCAAATAGAAAAAAGTGACTGGCGGATGGTTTAAATAGGGTTAGGCTTACTGGATCCTTTAAAGATGGAAAAACCTTGAAATGTACCTGATTTGATGACGAAGATACCAGCATGGGGATTTTGCATTCCTCTTCACGATAAAAACCACCGCCGGTTTGCTCCATCACATCAAAAGCAGAACACGTTTTCACTGTCGGTACTCCCAAGGTAACTGTTTTCTTTTCAGTTGACACGTCATCCTGAATGGTTCAGTCACAAAGTATCACTTATGATAGAAAGGTAGTTGTATAAAAACAAGTAAAGGTTGTTTTTGTTTTGTTTTTTGTTTTAATTGTGTTACGCATATAAACTGAACTTCCTAGCATTTCCTTCTAAAACAGGACTTTTAAGCCTTCTCACAAACTTCTTATATATGGATTGATATTAATAAAAAAACCAGACAATCTCACAATTTCCATAAGGGGCTAGCAGCTAGTCGATAGGTGTGTTTGGAATATTTTCTTTCAAAATAGATTGTTTTCTTTGTAAGGTTCAAAAAGTGGTATATCTTTGCGTCAATAAGCATTTGCATGTTCTATTTGCAATTATAATTCTTGTAACACATTAAATAAAAGAGTTGTATTGGTGACTTTAATTGAAACCAATTTTTGACTGTTTAAGAAGTAATTCTTATCCTTAACTTATCGGAGCTAACCAAAAGAAAAAAGAAAATTTTAAATATTTAACAATATTAGCTTTATTTCAAAATAGAAACTTCATAGAAAGAATTATAAGTTGTATTTCAAGTAGTTGCTAAGTACCTGACCGCCAATCACGTTCGTGTTCCACGTTGGTGTTCCAGCATACAGCTCTGTGTCTTTAGCAGCCCCTGGAGTGACTTTTAGCATAGAACTGCTTATCTAATCAACCCGACATAAAAAAATGAATAAAACATTAAAACATCGTATATATATATAACCTATCACAAGCATCTTTTAGAAGACACTCCCTTCACAACTCAAGAAATACAGTAACACAAGTGAAGAGTAAAACAATATGTTTTTCGTCTCTCACCTATATTTCGGCCGTGTTAAACGGCCTTCATCAGGGTGAATGGCCGTTACGAGCATCACACACCATTATAACATGATAACGAACAAATCTGAAAACTTGCACGCGCTAAAACGAAAGATAAACACGCGCGCGCTCTTACCGGACGCGAGATCTAGTCGATCTATTCTGGCTGTAAAAAAAGTCACTTATATTCAAGCCCTGAGGCTGAATACAGTTCAACCTATAGGCCCACTGGCCTTCTTTATCCCGGAGAGCTGATTCTTCCCCGGACACTCTATCAATTAACTGTATACTGACATCCTCAAGACCATGGTGTCCCGGGCCAAAAAAATGTCTATACAAAAGATCATCCTTGTTTCTACCCTCAAAAGAAAGCCTTGAATGCGCTCTAAAACGGGCCTTATGATCGTTAAACCTAAGCCTAAATTTTGTTGTTGTTGACCCAACGTACTGCGCATGACAAAGCTTACAGGACAGCAAGTAGACAACATTACTACTATTACAATCCAGTTCGTAGTTAATTGTATAGCTCTTTCCAGTTCTGTAAGAGGTAAACCTTTCTCCCGGTTCTAGGTACTTACAGACCTGGCATCGTCTGTTACCACACACCACTGTCCCCTTCGAGCTCCGCTCCAGACGCGTTGACGGCCTAAGTTTAGCGTGTACTAAATAGTCCCCCAGGCTCTTGGGTCTTCGAAATGCCATGAAGGGTACGTCTTTGATGGCTTTCCTACATTTTTCTGAGGAATGCAAGAGCGGCTGAAGTTCTCGTAGGATACTACCAATGTTAGGAAGACTTGGATGGTATGTCACTACCATTGGCACTCTGTTAGTAGCATTCCTAAGGCGTGGTGCCAATGTTTCCTCTCTGGCTTTCAATCTCGCTCTCCTAATTTGCTTCAAAACAAATGCTTTTTTATATCCCCTGGCTACAAGAAACCTACATAGATCAGCAGCCCTGTGATTAAACCAATCCAGCCTAGAACATATTCTTCGAAGTCTCAAAGCCTGGGCATATGGTATGCTTTCCTTACACATCCGGGGATGACACGAAGTGTGGTACAGATAGTGATGTTTATCCGTCGGCTTTATGTACAAATCAGTCTCTATTCTTCCATTGTTATTTATTACCTGAACATCCAGGTAATTAATTCTCTCTCTAGACCAGTCCCAAGTGAACTTAATCGTGTCATGGGCTTCATTGATATAATTCAAAAACTCCTCCAGCTCAAGCTCGGTCCCCGTCCACACCATGAAAACGTCATCGATGTATCGTAACCAGATGTAAGGTTTTACCTGCGCCTGGGATAACAACCTTCTCTCCAGTCTATCCATAAACAAATTCGCATAAGACGGTGCCATTTTCGTACCAATAGCCGTCCCCAACGTCTGAAGATAATGGTTTTCATTAAATTCAAAGTTGTTATTCCTAAGCACTAACTCTGCCAGGTCTACAATTGTCTCTGTCGGTATCTCCGGGTTCTCTCGATTGTTGAGAGCCTCCCTGATAGATTGTAGTCCCTCATCATGAGGTATATGGGGATATAATCCCACTACATCAATGGTCACCATTATTGCGCCGCTAGGGAGCGTACTGATGTCACGGAGCTTCTTCAGAAAGTCATTCGTATCCTTCACATAAGATGGTACTGCTGCGACGAGCGGTTTCAGGTGGTGATCAACAAATGCCGAGATCTTCTCCGTTGGCGTATTACATCCAGAAATAACTGGTCTACCTGGACAACCTCTCTTATGTAATTTAGGCAGAAGATAAAACCGTCCCGCCCTCGCCCCGCCATTAACAAGTAAATACTCCAAAGTTCTGTCACTTATGTGTCCATCACCATACGCTTTGTTCAACCTGTCGTTAATCCTCTCGATCATAAGCCCGGTGGGGTCCGACTACAAAGAGACATATACTGCACCATCACCCAATTGTCTCGTAGCCTCTGTGACGTACCGTTCCTTATCCATAACAACCACGGCTGATCCCTTATCTGCCTGCTTGATAACGATGTCATCATAACTCCTTAAATCCTTCCTAACTTTGGTAGTATCCTACGAGAACTTC